TTCATGGCTTATGCTATTATTTCACACTGGATTTGCAAACTTATGATAATGAAGTAACTATACAATTATTTTTAATTTCTATATACCTTCCATGTACATCTATCTGAACCTAACAACCCTCATTTCCAGGATAAAAACCTCATGAAAATCGCATCATATCTGATAGACTCATATGAAAGTTATATTTACTATTCAGTTTAGCCATGAATTATGTAGACATGGTTTGTTTGTTGGTAATTAAGCACAAAGCTACACAATGGGCTATCTGTGCTCTGCCCACCACGGGAATCGAAACCCGGATTCTAGCATTGTAAGTCTACAGACATACCGCTGTGCTACTGGGGGGCATGTAGACATGGCAGGAACATTAAAAATAAAATAAAAAGGATTAGCATAAAGGTGGTGATCGCTTTTCTAACTTGAAAAGTTGTGTCTATGCGTGTGTATGTATTAAATATGTAAAGTACACAAGCTTACAAGAACTATGATGTAGTAGAGGTTTGAAAGTACCAGTAAGACGTACATACATGGTATTATTGCTGCATGTACTTTACTGTTAAGTTTAAAAATTGTTTATGTAAATTTTATTTTATTTGTAGGTTACTGTAGAATACACTGATTTATGATTTATCTAACATAACAATGACGCTGGGATTATGGATGATCTAGCTAATGTAACTGGTGCATATGAAGGTTACATAACACGAATATTAAAATCATGGATCACTGGCTACTGTAGGTTAACATAACACTGTAATATTGTAACTGGTGCATATGAAGGTTACATAACACGAATATTAAAATCATGGATCACTGGCTACTGTAGGTTAACATAACACTGTAATATAGTAACTGGTGCATATGAAGGTTACATAACACGAATATTAAAATCATGGATCACCAGCTACTGTAGGTTAACATGACACTGTAATATAGTAACTGGTGCATATGAAGGTTACATAACACGAATATTAAAATCATGGATCACTGGCTACTATAGGTTAACATAACACTGTGATATAAGAAGTCAGGGATCATTTGACTTATCTAGAACTATGAAATACAACTAATTTAGATGCTGGAAATGTAATTTTGTTTTAAGATTCCTCCTCTTCTTTTTTTAATCTTATTATTTCACTTGCATACAGGGGCGGCACGTGTAAGAGGCTTAGCTTCCACAAATAAATTGTCCCTCGCATTATTCTCACCACCTCAGATATATTCTATATATTGTTACGTCTCCGTTCGTTAGTTAATTTTTCGTAAATTAGTTCCGACGAGACTTTAGCGACACAAGTTCTTTCTTAAATAAAACTGGTTTATTCTTTCCGAATACAACTTTACGATACACTTAATTTCAACAATCAACAATCGCTCTGTAACAAACGCTATAATTCTCAAAGAACTTCTCACGTGCTTAACAATATTTTCTCTGACTGCAGTTCAATTACTCATTACCTTCTTGTTCCGTCACGTTGTGAGCATCTTATATATATACAAGACTAACACATATCTAGTAAATGCTAGGGCATTCTTGAAGGAACAGGATATTTCTAGAAAGAGGTGGCGTGATACTAGTCACGTGACCTCGCTGACGCAACAATATATATATAGGGAGATCGAAAGAGGGTGCATGCGAGTCACTGAGGAGAGTATATTAATTTAGGAGCACGAACTTGTTCTTCCCAATTGTGCCACCCCCACACACGACAGAATTCTGCTTTAATTTTCAAGTGTTTTAGTACGATCTCTGTTTAATTTTAGATAGTTATCTTCATTTGATAAATGAGCATAAATTTTTCGCTCTTAATTATCCATCGCTAAAACTACAAATCCTTTACTTTTATTGGATTTTTTTAACTATTAATGTTGGTGTTACCTTTTAATTTATAGAAAGCTTTCTTCTCCTAAAAATATAAATTAGGTTTCATTGTGTGATTATGTAATTTCCCTAAGATATTTGACACTCTTTTAATAAAGTTCTGGCATGGCGTCTTCTATTATGTCCTATCTTTTCATTGCTCCTGTCTTAGGATGATCAAAAGGTGGGTTTGTGTTCTTCTCTTTATTCTGACGAATCTCTACTACTTCCACCCCTGTTTTTTTTTAAAGAATGTTTTTCTTGTTGTCGTATATTGTGTAGAGTTTGCCGTAAGGATGATAAATGTAATTCTGTATCATCATCTAGTCTAGTTGGAATTTCAAAATTCTGTCTTAGATTGAGTAAAAATTTCATTGCATCATCTGAGTTAATGCCATCTTCTACAGTTATATTACTTTCTTTGAGTTTGTTTTGTTTTGAACATTGTACAAAACTACACGAGGGTTACCTGCGCTAGCCGTCCCTAATTTAGTGTGATAGACTAGAGGGGAGGCAGCTAGTCAACTCAACTCTTGGGCTACTATTTTATCAACGAATAGTGGGTTTGACTATCACGTTATAACGCCCGACGGCGATTGGTTATCCATACATCGTAGACAGAAGTAAGTGTACGTAAGCAAGTGTTTTCAAAAATGGAAAGAGGTGGGCGGGGCCACTGTGTTTGATTCAATACATGTAGCGATATCTCAGCAAAAATAAAAGATAGGAGGTTCTTATTTTATATTCTAGCTTGTTAATATCGGTGATTTGAGTTCCTAATTCGTAAAATTTGTTTGAACAAAACAGAATTTCTGAAACATTGGGGCCCCTCACACCTAGGGGCAAGTGCCTATGTTAATCCGCTACTGGTTTCGGTCCGGAGGTTTGCACAAATGTAAAATTTTTCACTCCACCCCTTGGGAAATATGGAAATTTCCCGAAAACCCCTTTTTCTAAACTGCTGGAGTCACCAACTTCGGAATGGTGCCAAACGAATCGTTGCGGCCCAAAGGTAAAACTTTTCACCCAAACCCCTTAAAGAAACCCAGGTATTTCGCGGAAACACTTTTACGGGGATTTCCCGAAAGCGGACCCCAGATTTGGCATTGATTTACATTAAAGCACGTAAATAAGTATGCCTACTAATTACCGTTCGTAACTTGGTTAAATAAATAAAATTTGCATTATAGCAACAACGATCATTAAACTGAAAAAATGAAAAATAGTAATTCAAGCATTAAATTTTTCTTATAGCGACTCTGTAAACGTTGGCCATAGGCCTATGGGTTCGCTAGTATTATATAAACATAACACCACTTACAATACTAATGAAGGCAACAGTATTTATGAGAAATAAAATTTATTACATTTTCTTTAATGACAAAAATTATCTTTGCTTAACTATTGAACGACAGAATTTTTATGTCTTGAATACATTTTATTGTTTAATCAGGTAGGTAGCTGGTCTGAGCATGTTGAATAAACCTACCAAGTATTAAATCATTAGAACTTTTTTCCCCTACTTGTAATATTCAAAACTATGTGTTGCATTTTTTATACTATATTTAGTGTATAATTACTACTATTACGCTGTATTGCAGAGTATGTTAGTGGTTTCAGTGGTGGTATTTATAAAGAATTACCTGTATTGATTTTATAGAAATTAAGCACCAATTATATTGATCTATCATGTATATATGTGTTTTGCTGAAAACTTCATGAAACACATTATTCAAAATCATGATATTGGTAAATATTTTTCGTTCAAATTTTCTTGAAAATGTACACATACAATTAGTAATAATAATAAACTATGTATTAAAATATTTTTCCCTTATAAATTTTTTAACATTTACCACCATTTAACTGGAAATTTCTCTCAATCATACAGTAATTAATTTCAATGTGTATGTTTTGAAACATTACTTAACTGGTTTAAAAAAAATCTGAGTGTACATCAGTGAGAGAAAAATACACAAGTTCTTAAAGAAATTCAACTGAAGTGTCATCCATCTTGAAAACAAATAATTAGGAAGTAAGAAATGACTTCACTTGGAAAGTACTGGAAAAATAAATATTTAATTACAAGTATTAATGTTACATTTTTAATATTACCTGGTTTTGATTATGTTGTGCTTGTTTTATCTACTTTGGAGGTTTTCTTGACCCTTATAAAACAATTAAGACCCAAGGATAATATATCCATAGTTACAAGAAATTTTAAATTCTAATTTTGAGTTTTTAGTTAGGGTATAACAAAATTATGCTCAATATTAAAAATATACAAATAAAAACACCACTCAGAGTTTTAAAGTAAAAAAGCCTTAAAATATTAACGATAAAAGACATGGTTGTTTGAAAAATACTGTACAAACTTGAATTTTATTATTACACACAAATAACAGAAAATTTGTAACTCTGCTTGTGTAATTAAACACTTTAAAGTTTTATCTTTTGTTAATATCACCCTAGTGTAAAACACCATTTTTCAGATGGTAAGTTACCAAGACATAAATCTGCTGCTTTCTGATATTAGAACACTGGAATTTCTTACTGGAAAATCTCAGAAAGGATTTCTATACATTTTTTCCCCATAATCTGATTATATTAATGTGTAAACTGATTAAAATATACTTGCTAGAACTCCTTCCCCAACTAAATTAAATACTATCTACTTCCAACAACTTTTTTCTCTGCCAGGATAGTCATAAAAGGAAAATAAAATGTCAGTGTGTGCATGTGTAGGTCAAGTGAAAAAATATTTACATGCATAAAGTATATCTAAAATCAAATAAACAGCACTAAAATGTGAATCAAATTACATTCAAATTGATCATCTAAAATATAGTAAAAACATTTTCAAAAACCCACATTTTTTATGACATTATTAGTTTTTACTTCAGTATTTATAAAAAAAACAGTAATATATATAACTTAGCCTTTTATTACTCGCAATATCACAATTTCCCGGTATGTCCCATTTTTTCTACAAAACGTTAAAGTTTTGGTCTCTTCATTTTGCTTTGTTCATTGTAGTATTTTTTTGTCTAATTTGTTTATTCTGTATGGATATTGTGCTTCTTGTTTTGTTCTAAGAATACTTTAAGCAAAGTTATTTTATCACAAATACAACGAAAACTTTACACAAAATTTTTTATTTACAGTTTTAAACCAAAAATGATAATTTTGTGTAATCACAAAACAAATTCATAGGCAGAAAATAATCACCCAATTAGTAATGCTTCATTGGTAGAACTAAGATCATTCGCTTTAAACTATAAAACTTAATACAGTTGTGAAAAACTAATCAGTCTTGCAAATGTCAAGTAAATAGCATTATACATAGTCAAAACAATTTTGTTTAGTTGACAGTTTTCTGTAATATAAAAATACAGAATACTGATAACAAAACAAATAAAAATGATTATTCATTTAATCTAATTAATAAGTATTTTACAAAGTTATTATAATTATTGTATTAAACAATGTTAATTAACATTAAAATGATAGTTTAAAGCTTTGCTGCTAGAGTTCTAGTATGATCTGTTCATTTTTGTTCTTTAGGCTTTCAGTAGTATGTAGATTACTAAATAATACTTTTATTAATAATATTCTCACAAAAATTATAAAGGTAAACAAATTTTAAAGGAAAATTAGTTTTCACAAGTATCATATCAAACTTCCAAAGTAATTTTATTCTTAGTTTCAACAGGGTAAAAGAAAGTTGTTATGCAGTGGAATAAAAAGTCTATAAAGCACATAATTTATAAAACACAGTTTTTGTACTTTGTATATCTAAAAAAAGTCATGTATTGAACTTGTTGTTAATGCTATCCACAAAACTTTAACACTGTCTTCAATACACAACACACTGCTCTTTTTGGTAGACCCACATTTTTCAATGGGAAGCTTTAACAACAACAACAAAAAAGAATAAACCAATAAATTTATTTGTGTGTGTCTATATATATATACACACAGGGTGGCCCAAAAGTAACTATACAGTTGATAATTGATAATTTATTTAAAGTAATTAAATCAAAATTAAAGTATACAGTTGATCATTGATTTAATGGCACTTTACGCATGACATGTAATTATGAGAAAGGTAATATCAAGTTAATCCCACAGGTATTCAAATTGAAACCTGTCACTGTTCATACAATCCTGCAAACTTTCTGACATAAGTCTGTCTGTCCATCAACTTCTGTAAATATGTCTGTGATGTACCCTTTAATTTTGTCAACATTTTGTGATTTCCTACTGTACACTTGAGTATTCCCCAGAAGAAAAAGTTCATAAGGGTACAGTCAGATGACCATGGAAGCTAGCAATGATTATGTCCATCAGGACCCACAGGTATGCATCGCCTGTGACAGCTTCGTTATAGAAAACTGGACCTTAGACACCTAAGCTTGCAATGGCACCCCAAACTGTGACACCCAGTTGGTTACTGCTCAAGTGTCAACAGAAGTAAATGTATACCTACTTTTGGGCCACTCTGTATATATTAAACTTTTCATATCTTAAGAAAAGTTACTAGACTAATGCTGTTTATTATGGAGTACACAAAACCAAGTGTATTAATGATGTGGAAGGAACACCAACAAATATTTATCTCAAATGATATTTTAGCATGCAAGCTAATGACAGTTTACTAATTGGTAAAACTACAACTTTGTGGTCTCCCAGATAATTGAAATAAAATTAACTGAAATAAACAAATGCAACTAAGTATACTAACTCTATATTTTTAGATAATGATTGAATATCTTTAATTATTGACTCTGATAAAACAAATGATGAAAAGCTGAAAATTCATACATTCATCTATTACTTACACATTTATAAGAAAGGTTTTTGCAAAATATGTTACACTACATAGATTTTCTGATTTTCTGACTTAGTATCATGTCAGGATTTAACCGACAGTAAAATTTACAGACAAAATATATTTGGAGACAGTCACAAACTTTGGACCAAAAATGGCCAGTCAGTGTTTGAAAAATCTGCCACCTAGCAAGCTCATGATCATAGAGTTTTAGAAAAACAAAACCACAACAGTTTGCAAGAGCACCTATTAGAGCTAAAAATGAAGTACTGTCTCCATACTTGTGCTGTGCATAAATAGTAGCTCCAATGGCTACAGCTATGTGAAGTCCTAGGGCAATTTCAAATCCAAAAATGGTTAATAAAGTAAGGAAATAGCTCATAACAGAGAGACATGAAATGCACATACTCCATGACTTGGAAAAAACATTGCACACAGAAATGCACCATACAATAACCCAAGCAAAAAATGGGAGTGTTACCCACTGGTCTAAGACAGCTGCTCGATGGTTCTGTGTAACTATGCGACAGAACTGAATGGGACCGTAGCATATAGCCATCCAAGAAAAAATTGCAAGACAGTAACAGAAATCTGGTTTGTGATAAAATTTTCTGCTAAGCCAAAGCCCGTACATTCCTACAGCTATATAGCCAGAATTAATAAGACTGTTTGCAGGCATCTTTAACCATGATGGGAGAAGACTTGGTACTTTGTAGGATGTTTCAGCATAAAACTGGTACCCACATTCTGTATGAACTTTATCAAACAGTCCTGTCAAGATGGTCAATTCCATAAACAGGATTATCACACATACATGAAGACCAGCCTTTACTATTATCCCCATGGTCAGGAACTGGGAATGAAATGTATATTAAATTAAAAGATGGCAAATATGACAAGATTTATTGTTCTTTTTAACATAACAACGTGCAATACTTAATACCACTGTATTAACAACTACCTCCATCTCATAGTTACCGTATTTTCAAGATTACTCAAAACTTAATTATAGCAAAAGGAAAAACAAGTAAAAGTAAACAAAATTATACTTTTGTGCATAGAAAATAATCACATGAAAAATATATACAAATAAATAACTTAAAAAACAGTGAACTTATAATACTAAAAATTAGTTCTTCCAAACCATATTAAGGCTGTACCAACACTATTTTGGGGAATAAAATAAACAACATATAAATTCCTTTACAAGTTGTAAAGATTGAAGTCTCATTTCCTTAATCTATCCTGATCAAAATCAAGGTTTTTCTACATGGAGTTTGAAACTGCAATACATGTTTACTCATAGTCTTTTTTTTTCAAATCTCACTACAAATAAACATTTTCCATATCATTATATTACTGTCAAGCTACAGTCTAATTATGTGGTTGGAGATTTATGGATATTATGTGCATAAAGTATTAGACTGAAGTTAGTTATAACACTGGAAATGTACTTAAAGTAGCACATTTCAAACTTATTATTATTATCCTTGCAAATCATGAAAGACCAAAATAGAATTTGTATTTATATTTTGATAGAAGTCATAGCAGAACATGAAGATTATGAGAATGTAAGTAAAAACACAAGGCAATCATGGATTGTCTTACTTTATTAGTGTTAACACTTTAGCGTAATTGACTGAGCACTCAAAGGAGATGGAAACAATTTCATTCCCACAGAATAATTAGGGACCAACTAGAGGACAGGCCTTGTTTCTGAGAGGAGAAAATGTGGTAGTTAAAAAGTGTCTTACTATTAGGTTAACCCTTTAGCTTGGTTGGTAGAGAACTTACCTGGTGTGGAAGAAGTCCTGGATTCAGTCCTGCTTGCTGCAAGTGCAGAAATGGAATTACCACACTATTACCTACCAAAACATATAAACTACACAAGTATTGCCTTTAATATTTATATACAATTCAACATGTTTAAACAAACTCAAATTAACTGCACACATTGCATCATTAGCTAAATATACAATGCAACAAAGTAGTGCAAAAAATTATGTCAAAGTATAAGCCAGCAACTGGGGAATATAAACCTTGTATTAAGCCTGCCCTATAATACTCAGCTTTATGTTTCATTCTTCCACCTAAAAAAACCACACATAGAAACATTGTCCAAACATTATCAATATTGAGAACCTAAATCATAATTAAGTAAATCAAACTACTTCCATATACCAGAGAAACTAGTTTCCAATTCTTTCATACACCTGAAAATATAAATCCAAAACTCTGACCTTAAAAAATGTAAAGTACTTTGAAAAGCTGATTATCATTATAGTTATTTGCTTATAGAAAAGCAAATTGTGCAACTAATATTGTGTACAGTAGTTAAAAGTGTACAAAATAATTTATTTGTACAATTATAATTTTATAATCATTCTTATCAATCAATCATCTTTTCCTTTCTCAGAAGATGATAATCTTCTTTTATTTATATGATAGCTGATATCATATCTCTCACTCTCCTTTATACTTAGTAAAAAAAATGTTTCCAGAGCTTTGAATTATGCCTATACACAGACTAGGCTAAGTATTAATTCAGTTTTAACAAAGAATCTTTCCTTCAACCAGAGATGAAATAGTGTTTCTGGGTGGCAGGGCAAGAAAGAAGAAATTCCAGTAATTGTATCTTGAAGCAGTCATTCACACAATCAGAAAGCCCAGGACTTACTGCATCCAAATATTCAATCTATATGATGTATTTCAATCAGGAGTTAGGAGCAGTCAAAGATACAAGTGGTTTTAAAATGATTGTCACATATACTAACTGGTTATTTCTTTCTTCTTTTTTTATTCTCAAAATATATGTGACCTTTCTTCGCAGTCTGTTTGAGGTTGGAGACCTTGTTCTTGACCTTCTGATCTATCAGAAGACCATTCCTACCATAACTAGTCCTTGTATCACCAAACCTATTTTTGAGTGTCACCACAACATCTCTGGACTTGATAGAAGGATTTGTCTCAAAAAAGGCTGTTAAAAAGTTTGTCATGATTGCATCCACAGCAGATCCACAGGTTGCAGGTCATTGATGAAATAATAGTGATTGATGATGACATGCAGAACAGTAGCACAGTTCCAGTCACAGGGATTTGGAGCTTTCTGCTGAAGACCTAATGAATTCTAGTCTGAAAAACTGATACAACAATGGGCAAAGAAGAAGGCTGCTCATACCCACAGCTTATACAACACAAAATATTATCATTAAGTTCTATGGAGTTTCTGCTGATAATGTGGCCAGTAATAACTCAGCCAATTGTTGTCCAATATAGAAACTGTAAAATGTATTCATCATAACACAGCGTAAGCTACCTCCCATTTAAGTTTCACCAAATTCAGACAAATCCTGTATTTCATACGTCCAATCCCTGCCACTGAAGTGCTTCTGGTTGAGGGTTTGGTTTGTTATGAATTTTGCACAAAGCTGCAAGAAGGCTTTCTGTGCCAGCTGTACCTAATTTAGCACTGTAAGAGTAGAGAGAAGGCGGCTAGTCATCACCACCCACTGCCACCTCTTGGGCTACTCTTTTACCAACGAATAGTAGGATTGACTGTCATATTATAACATCCCCACGGCTGAAAGGGTAAACATGTTTGGTGTGACGGGGAATCGAACTTGTGACCCGCAGATTGCGAGTCGAGCGTCCTAACCACCTGGCCTTGCTGGGCACTGGTTGAGGGAGAGATCCTGTGTTAAGTATTCCTCTCAATGACATAAATTGATCAAAATGTAAACACGTAACTGTATGCTTTGTTATTTACTCCACATCAGGACATACAATACCTGTATTGAGTTGTATTGCAAGTCATATTAACATGAAGCAGAACAAGCTACCTACTTCGTGTTGAACTAACTTGTACGTTACACTCGAACTTCGCCCCACTAGTACTAGAGTAGAGGTATTCAAGTTAAGATTATATCAGTTTTTTACTCTTAATTTTAATATTCATATGCATGCATGCACGCCCACAGAGACCTACCTCGTTTTGAATAGTTCACTTATATTTCAACTTGATAAAAAAATTAATATAAATTTTACACTAACTGTTACTAATATTGCAATAGTAATTATAACACGTATTAGAAAAGAAATGACAATAAACACGTCCTCTCGCGATAAATTGGTAAAAGCCCAAGCATATATTTTAATTGATTAGAAAGTTTTTTTGTGAAATAGAACTGGCACACAATTTTATCATAAAATATCATGGGATTTTCCGTTTTTTCCTAAAATTAATTTAATTTCATAATCATAACTGAACTGGTAAAGCAGGGTTCTCCACAGTAGAAGTTTCTATGAACTCGATGACACCCGTTCTAGTAGCAGCGGCAGATGGGGTGGAATGGTTTGTCAACCCCACTCCCCATAAAAGAATTTACTGCATCATATGATTTTACAAAAATATGGGCCCAAGTCACACCCCCCCCAAAAAAAATACAGCAATTATTTATTTATTTTTTTACTCAATTAGTAAAAATAGTGTTGTGTACTGTTACGACAGCGGAGGTCACGTGACGCTAGTAACACGCCACGCGCTTCTAGAACGTTCATGAAGCGTTGGGAGACTACTAGATATGGGGTAGTCTTGTATATATAAGACGGTCACAACGAGACGGGAACAATCTGCAATTGAACTGCGGACAGAGTATTGTTGAGTTGAGCGCGTGAGACGTTCGTTGTGAATTTAGCGTTTGTTATAGCGCGACTGTGGAAATTAAGTGTATTGCAAAGTTGTATTCAGAAAGAATAAACCAGTTTTATTTAAGAAAGGACTTGTATCGGTAAAGTTTCTTCGGAAAGAATTTTTACTGAAAATTAACTAACAAACGGAGGCGTAACAAATTGGTGTCAGAGAGTGGGACAAAAAAAAATTGAAACGAGAAGCGGCAAATCAAACTATAGCTTAGCAGATTTGATGGC